TGGTGATCTTAGCTTGGATGCGCTGGTGACGTAAAGAATAATGGCTTAGAATTTTTAGGAAAGTCGATTTCCAATTCCCATTGGGTTCGTTCTATTCACTTACGCGCAAATACTCTTGGGAAAGGTATGAATTCCCCTCTGTTCAACCCTTGCTATGGGTTAATTAGTAAATTGTGTATCCTAAAACATTATTATCTCAACATTATCTTAGAATGTGAAAATATTTTCTGACTTTATATAACCATGTTGTAGCATACCTACTTACGATAATGGGTATGTCTACATTCACATAAATAGAGTAGTAAATACTGTATGTTGATCTGCAATGAGAAATTCGTCTCCAGCTATGCTGCTCAAACTCTCTGCCTCCGGGCAGAAAGAATCTTCAGACGAGGCTCGGGAAACAGTTACCCGACCCCGTTTTATACTGTGTCTACGGGGAAATTTTGGCCGAGATTACGGGTTCGGATACCCACATTAAATTTGGCCTTGTGCCACATCTGACAACGTTGGGCGGTTTGGATATATCCTGCAGTTGGAGATTCACCTCCAGCTCTACTGGTTAAATTCTCTGCCTCCCTGCAGAGAGGATCCCCAGACGAGTCTATGTCAAAGCGCAGAGTCTTGTCTCGGGAAACAGCTACTCGACCCGGTTTTACACGAGGTCTACGAGGAATTTTTGGCCGAGCCTACGGGCTAGGATACCCCACATTATATTCGGCCTTGTGCCACATCTGAGCACATGGGGCGGTTGGTAGATATCCTGCAGTTGGATATTTATTGTTGAATATACTTGACTCATTTCTAGCAGTTGACTACTTCTTCTACGCGCCTCTGACGAATCTTATATATGTTGTTCTTGTCCTAAGTATTATTGTTCATTACCAACCTTCGTTTGATTATTCTATTCAGTAACCTTCCCATGTTACAACAAACCTGAAAAGAGTTAATAAGCAGTAGAAAACGAAACAACCAACGAAACCAGATATTGGGACCCCCCGTACCCTGGTTTGGTTAAACCAGGGTACGGGGTGTCCCCAATGTCTGGATACATAGGAAAATATGGATATTTTCAAGAAATTAAATATTTAACAACATTTTATTGAATTGGAATATTAACAAATAAAATCTTCCATCATTTGCGATGCAAAGATTAATGCGCTTTGCAATATACACGTCAACTCAATACAATAGATCCACATTGCCGCCAATTTTAACACATTCACTTTTTACGCATTCAATTAAGTCTGTTGCGTTTCTGATTTTTCATTGAGAACACTTTCTTTAGCATAGCCCAGAAAATGAAGTCAGTTCTTTCTTATTTCGTCAAAACCATGTTTAATCTGTGTAGGTATAAAAAGTAAATTTGTTAATGAGATTTTCTACACGTACAGACTTTAGGGAGCCACTGTAGATGAGTTTACAATATGACGTGTTTCGTGATGTATTTTTATTATACTGTGTTAGCGGTATCTATTAGCTTACTTTATAATATAATATTGCCAATCGTTTGCAAAATAGTGGCGCTTATAATAAATCGACATCAGTGGCTTTAGAATTATTTACTCAAAAAAAATGCCAATTTCCTATTTATCGAAAAGCGAGACAGCGTAGTCAGGTAACAAGGTTATAATAATTCAGCAAAGAAAATGTTAAAATACTGTCATCAATAATACAGCAACAACTGTAAGCATCTGAGGGAGAAACATGTCTCTAGTAACTGGCTCATTTCCGACGTTCAAAAGTTTGAAGGAATTATATATCAGAGGAAGAGTTAGTATTGTGTCGAGAACGGAGCCATTAAGATCGACGATGTTGTCGATTAAGGTTATTTTTTTTAAGCAATTCACCCCAAGCAAGCAAGGCGGGAGTGCTACTAGCAAGCAAGGGGTTACAGAGGATTGAGAACAAGAGTAATTAGGGGTGTTTGAGGGAAGGATACAAAAAAGGACGGGGAACAAGATCAGGGTATCAGAACACGTCGATTGACAATACACTTGTATATTTGAAGATTATAGTTATCAGGGGATCAAGTAAGGGGAAGGGAGTTCCACAGATGGGAAGTGCGAGTGAAGAAGCTGTTTGAGTAGAAGAGACGGTTACATCTAACAGTGAAACAGTGACAGTGAAAGGGTGGGACCGAGGTGCTATGCTAGTAGCTCGCTTAAATTCATGCATTCTGCAAACCAGCGAAAGTAGCCCTTCGGAACAGTTGCCGTGAAAATACTTGTAAAAGAGACAGAGGGAAGCCACGGCACGTCTGTGAGAAAGCGACTGTAGACTAAATGCCAGATCAGGACCTATCAGATTGCATATTCGTCTCTGGATTTTGTCGACCAGACCATATATGACAGTAATGTTCCATGCAAGGACGGATGATTCTGGAGACTTGATGAACTCGCCATTTCCAGCGATAACCGCCAAATGCCATGGCCAAGAACGTCGTAATTCTTAAATAATTATAGAAAATCCGTGGAGGCTAGAGAGATTCAACGTCGGCAAAGGGCAAAGATGTCATATTCTGGATACATTTGTTCCAACACCTCTTAGAAGAAACGAATGTCGTGAAACGCCTAAGAGATTTGGGGATCTTTTCATTATATTTTGATATTACATCTTTTATTTTATCCTTGAGTTCTTAGCTGTCTCGAACTTTTTTCTTTCTTTTTTTAAGCGTTTCACCCCAAGCAAGGCGGGAAGACACTAGGACGCAAGGGGTTACAGAAAATTTGGATCAAGATCAGATAGGAGTGATAGAAGAAAGTATGAGGAGAAGGATAGTGGATAGATCAAGGCAACTGGAGATGTCGATTGACATTACATTTGAATAGCTGGAGATTATAGCTCTCAGGGAAACTGGAATACGGAAAGGAATTCCACAGGCGAGAGGTGCGAGACATGAAGCTATTGGAGTAGAAGAGATGCTACATTTAGGAGTTTCAACAGTGAAAGGGTGAGAGCGGTGTGCCGGCCTCGTAGGGCGCTTGAATTCACGAAGTCTGGGAACCAGCGAATGCAGTTCCTCGGAGCAATTACCATGAAAGTATTTGTAAAAAAAAGTCAGAGAGAGGCGACAGGGCGTCTGTGAGAGAGTGACTGTAGACGAGATGCCTGAGCAGGGCCAATTATATTGCATATCCGCCTCTGGAGCCTATCAAGAACCCCGAAGCAAACATCAGGGGCTCCAGGCCATATATGGCAGCAATACTCCATGTAAGGGCGAATTGTTGATTTGTGGATCTGGAGGATCGACTCCGGGGAGAAAAATTTCCTGGCGCGGCACAGGGAACCAACTTTCCTTGCGGTGGACGAAGCAATTGACTCAATGTATTTGTTCCATCTCAGGTCAGCAGTCAACGTGAGACCGAGCAGCCGATCCTTTATCATACCCTATAACCAGAAGTCACCGGGTGGAATTGGCGCGTATTTCTTTACAACTTTAAAGGTGGCTGCTAATGCTTACATACTGATGCTGCAAGAGTCTCAATCCTCATAAATACGTTGGACAAGAACTTAAGTGTCGGTAATATGCTGTCTAAGTCGTCCACCACTAGCAATGATTTACCTACATCACGCCACTGGCGGGTATTGTAGTTTGTTAATGTTATAAAGATGGCCATTTCATTTCCAACCTCCATTTTGGCTATTCCTCATTCAGTAAACCTTCCTAGGTTACGACAATAACATAGCAATACAAACCAGACGAGCAGGGTATTTCCAACAGGTTGCTGCATCGCTTCATTTTGCCCGTACTGTTCAGGCTTGTTTCGATCAAAGTTTCCAGAATTGTTGGATAGGTCGCAGCGGACCGTTGACATGGTCATCCCACTCCCCTGAAATGTTACCTTTTGACTTCCGCTTATGGGGGTATGATAAATGATTGCGAGTATAGCAAAAAGTTAGAGACATCGAAGAACTCAAGAAAATAAAAGGTTTAATATCAAACATTCCCAGTGAAATGTGTTGCTGGACAGGTGGAGACTGTTCAGTAAACTCTCAATAAATAACATACTAGTGTTAAGATAATTTTAACTTACACAGTGCCTTTTAAAAGTTCAACGATAATTCTTCTGCCGCCACTTAATTTAAAGACAATTTGATGGACGTAGGTCCTTAATTTCCGTATAAACAATTATTTTTATTTCATGGTTGAATTTCGCTGGATTTTGCAATTAATTTTTATTATTCCCATATTTAATTCCAAGTTATAAAAATGGTTATCGTAAAAAAAAATTGTCGCCAAAAATCAGGGAAAAATCGCCGAAAACACTAGCAGTAATGAAAACATGGGAATCCAAAATTTCTGGATTGCTGGCCCGGAATGTTTTCAGTTTACTCAAGAGTCGGCCTGGGACACTAACATTCGCATTTAATATCTATCTATCTATCTATCTATCTATCTATCTATCTATCTATCTCTCTCTCTCTCTCTCTCTATATATATATATATATATATATATATATATATATATATATATATATATTTATTAATATTTATTTTTTTTATGTTTAACGTTGTTTTTTATAGATACAACGTTAAACATAAAAAATGTCTTTAATAAATAAATTGTCGGACTTTGTCCATTTCTTAATATATATATATATATATATATATATATATATATATATATATATATATATATATAAGCAAATATATGGGTATAGATCCGATAGTATAAAAAAATATAAAGGAAAAAACAAACAAAATCCTTATATACAATTATATTTGTTTAATGTTAATATGTCAACGTCGGACTTTTCAGTCTAAAACCATCTTCAGGACATTTTCTTAAATTAAACATTATCAATACAACATGTAAGACGATGCACTTCGTCTTTTGTCAAAGACTTGAATTGATAACTGTTAATTAAATTTTTCATGAATATGTCCTGAAGATGGTTTATTAGACCGAAACGTCTTTTGACGTTGACATATTAACATTAAAACAGCATAATTGTATATATAAGATTTTTGTTTTTTTTCCGTATATATTTTTTCTTCATATATATATATATATATATAGATAGATAGATAGATAGATAGATAGATAGATAGATAGATAGATAGATAGATAGATAGATAGATAGATAGATTGGGGTGCGGTGCGGATCTTTGTGTGATTTTACTAAAGTCTCCATGGAAAGAAATATAAAGATTTATGTAATTTATTGATGTAACATTTTCCCCTGTTTACATGTCGATCGAGTCGTGAACGGAACGACTTATTTATAATTCAGTAATTAAGCAAACATTCGTTTCTATTTTATTTTATTTCGGCGTTTCTGACAGAGAACAAAACGGAGAGCTATGCGATACCACTTTATAATTAATCTTATTTTGAAAAGAAATCGATTACTTCATTTATCATCATCATCATCATCATCATCACTCGTAATGAGTCGATAAGTGTGCGCCTGATAAAGTACAATGTCCATTTCGCTTCTGACACAAGAAAAAAGATCTGTAAGAAAGATGAACTTTCAGAACTTCTGTTCAGCTTTGCTAGCATCATGCTTTCCAGTCAAAAGATTCTGTTTCTTTTGCCGTGAAACTAGCTTTTGATCAAAGATCGACTTTTTATGTCGCTTATAGACTAATAATAGTAATTATTATTATTATTGTTATCATTATTATTATTATTATTATTATTATTATCATTATTATTAATTCCCTTGATTTTTTGTTGTATTCATATTTCCTTCCGGTTTCCAGAGGCCTAAGGTCAGAATTGGATTCATGACATTTTTCACTGATCATTTTTTGCCATAAATAAATAAATAAAGTCGCAGGCATTTTAACATAGATGGAGCCTTTCGTAATATATGAGCTGTATTGTGTGTACAATTTTTAGCATTTCTTTAAGGCACGGGCTACCAGGATTCCCTTCAGGGACTATATGGGAACCTTTTCCAATTAATCCAAGGGATCCAACTACAACTGGAATTAATGATGTCCTCATGTGACACATTTTTTTTTAGGTTTCCATTTCAAGATCTTTGTATTTGATAGATTTTTTTTTTCAAAGCTACATTAAAATCTCCAGGGACCCCCAATTTTAATAACAATTGTTATGACATTGTTTCTCCTGTGTTCTTTGATCATTATGTCTGGGAGATTAGTTTTCATTGTCTTATCTGTGGTTATTGTAAATTTCCATAAAAATATTCCTATCTCTTAAACTGGTCTGGATGTTGATCATACCAATTATTATTATTATTATTATTATTATTATTATTATTATTATTATTTCCTTTGATCTCTGGTGTGTGTTTCTTTCCGACCCAACCCAGAGACCTAACGTCAGAAATGTCACCATGACATTTTTCACTGAGCAATTTAAAACAAAAATACACATGTTTTACATAAATAAAGCCATTGGCAAGGTGTGGAGATCAAATTTTTATATTTCTTTAAGGCATGGACTTCCAGGAATCCCTTCATTGAGTCGACTGGAATCGTTTCCAATCAATCCGAGGGCTCCAATTACAACAGGGATTGTTGATGTTCCCATCTGCCACATTTTTGCTATTATTATTATTATTATTATTATTATTATTATTATTATTATTATTATCCTTTGATTTCTGTTGTATAAACATTTCCTTCTGGTTCCCAAGCAGAGCACTAAGGTCACAAATGGATTCATGACATTTTCCATTGATCATTTTATAAAAGAAATATAGCTAAAATCACTTATATTCTACATAGACAAAGCTCTTCGTAATGTTGTACTTGTGAGTACAATTTTTTTTTATTACTTCCAAAGCTACGTTACAATCTGCAAAGACTACCATATTAATAAGAGACAAAAATGTATTGCTGGTATTTTTTTTTTCAAAACCCGTTACTCGTAATATATATTTTTTTTAAATGTATTGCTGGTAATATTTTTTTCTTCAACAATGTATTACTGTTTTTATGGGGTGGTTACAATAATGTATTACTGGTATTTTTACTATAAAAATGGATTTTTATAATTCCATAGTGTTTTGACCCCAGTTTAGTGGTTAACTCTTTGCCCATAGTTGAGACCCTAAAAGGCGCTACCACCCCGGGGCCAATGTGGACTTAGTAACAGTAGCAATTATGAAGTGGTTCCATGTTCCTCAAAATCTCCTGGTCAGAGGCCTACTCGGGATGATCATCGATTGAAAGACATGTCTTTTCAACATTATTATAAGTACTGTAATTGTAATTCTGATGGCGTTTTTAATCAAACATTAATAATAAAGTATTTAAAGATAAAAATTCATATAATTTTATATTGTATTTTTCCTAAAAATCTCAGTGTTGTTTTATGTATACATATATTTAGGATTTACATCTAAATATTTATATAGAAAAATTAAACCACGTCAGATAAATCTCTTACGTCATATATATCTGTCTTATGATTGATTCAATTCTTCTCCTTCCTCGGTGTTCGCTGGTGCAATCGAAGGACGCATACTCACCAGCAAAGAGTAGTATTGACACGCGATTTGAACATTCAAAAACCAAAGGTTTACGTGACACACAATCTGCAGACAAAACTAAACCAAATATGAAATACGGTCCCGATAGTATTCTAAACTTCGCAACCGATAACTGTTTCCCAGCCTAAAGATATTTGACGCTGATATAAAAGTTTCTCTGCTCGTCAGGAGAGATTTGAATTCTACCAAGTAAGATAATCTCACACGCCACTGGAGAAATATTGACGATGTTTCTTTTCAAAATCATTGTGTTGAATTTTCAACGTTCGAAGTCCAAACAGCCAAAGTATTTCCGATCCGAGATTCGGTAAGAGGATCGAATGCACCTGAATGTTGTTTTTATGAATCACGTAAATATTATTATCTTTGACTATATAAGTTGAGTGTCTTTTATCCGAACTGTCAAAATACGAAAACCTCCAAAATCCGAAAGTTTTCAGGTGCTCACATGACTTGCCACAAATGGGTAATTTCAGAAAGCACTGGGAAGATGTGGTGTAAAGCTGTTGTAATTGACCACATATACCCTGGGTGGGGGTTCCCTAGCCCACATACGTAGCCTATGTTGGTCCCAGGTTTTTGTAAGCGATCGTCAATGAAACACATTCGTTCGTGGATTACTAACCAGATGTCTCCTGATCAGTAAATTTAAAAAAGGCCTCTATTTATAACCTTTTTTTTTGTAAATAATTATCATGTTTCTGTACACGTACAGAACGTAAAAAAACATTATTTTTATGTGAAATCTTAATTTAGCCACATAAAAATTATTATTACATGACTAGCGTCATTACCTGCATCTGTATGTACATAAAATTTATTATTTTTTCTATAAAACTACTTTCAGTGTATATTCTGTTTATATAAAAATATCTTCCGGATATATGTATAAGCTAAAGGTGGTTTTATATAAATAACATATACTCTGAAAGGTAAAGGGTGTTTATGCTTAGGTTTCATTAGCCAAGATTCTCGATGTTATAGATACTATATACAAATTAAATAGTCTGTATTCCAAAATCCGAAAAAAAGCAATTCCGGTCCTAAGAATTTCGGCTAAAGGATTCTCAACCTCTACTAAGAATTGATCTTTATTCAAGATCGAACTTTAGAAAAAGGATTTTCTATACGAGTTCTGATCAAAAAGTATCGGAACAATTGTTATGGTAACGGAGTTTGGCATAGACTGTCCTTGAACGCAGTCGCACATAAACACTAAATTATAACGCTTCAATTCCTTGTTTATAGCAGTGCTTGGAAGAAAAATGTGTAGAGTGTGGTCTCGTCATACTACAGACGTTCCGTCAGTAACTATGGCTTGTGTAGCGGTTTTTGGGTCGATATCACGTTCCCAGGTCCGAAACCCCTATATTCTCCAGATTTTGCCCCTTGCGATGTTTTCGTCTTCACAAATCAAAGCTCAGTTGGAATGAATAATATTTGAAGACGTCGCGGAAATCCAAGAGAATGCGATCAACCAGCGGCACACTATCTCCAAAAGGAGTTTCAGGAATGCTTCCATCTCCAAAAGGAGTTTCAGGAATTCTTCCGTCTCCAAAAGGAGTTTCAGGAATGCTTCCATCAAAAGGAAATATACTGGATAAAGTGCATGACTTCAGAAAGACACTACTTCGAAAGAGATGAAATGTGTTGTACTATTTCTTCTTATTTTTTTAAAGCATTTCACCCCAAGCAAGGAGAGTGTGCCACTAGCACACAAGCGGCTACAGAGAGCGAGAGCTAGAGTAAAGAGGCATGATAGAGGAAAGGATGAAGAGAAGGACGGGGAATAGATCAAGGCATCTAGAGATGTCGATTGACATTACATTTGAATAGTTGGAGATTATAGCTATCAGGGAAACAAGTAAAAGGAAGGGAATTCCACAGACGGGAGGTGCGAGACATGAAGCTATTGAAGTAGAAGAGACGGCCACATTTAACTGTATTCCTCAGTGAAAGGGTGCGACTTCGATGCCGACCTAGTGGCACGTTTAAATTCATGCAGTTTGGGAACCAGCGAAAGTAGCTAGTTGGAGCAGTTACCGTGAAAGTATTTGTAGAAAAGACAGAGGGAGGCGACGGCACGTTGTGTGTGAGCGACTGTAAACGAGATGCCAGATAAGGGCCAGCCACATTGCATAACCATCTCTAGATTTTGTCGAGGACCTTAAGTTGAACATATATGGCAGCAGTATTCCATGTAATGGTGAATGGTTGATTTATGGATTTGAAGGATGAACTCGGGCGGGAATAACTTTCTGGCGCGACACAGAGAACCAAATTTCCTTGCGGTGGATGAATCTAGCACATGAAATCTATTGTCGTATTTTTTGTAACACAAGGCCCAATATTTTTTTACCAGACGGCGTATAAGTTAATTACTGAGCAAAGTCTTGAGTTAAATTTTAAATAATATAATGATTTTCAGATATAGGATCATATATACAGTGATCCCTCGTTTATCACGGTAGATTGGTTCCTAGACCGGCCGCGATAATAACTGAATTTCCACGAAATAGGGATGCCATATTTACAGTATTTATTTAACGAGTATTTGGACTTTTAAAACCCTCCCTGTACTCTTAACAATCCACCCATTACAGTACTCTATTAATAACAAGGACAACTGTTAAGCAATAACAATTTAGATTAAAACAAATAAAGATTGTTACTGTATTCAACACGATAGAAGTTGAAGTAGAATTTGAATGATGATGATGATGAATTTGCTGCACAGTAGAAATGATGATGCTGAAGCTGATGATGACTTCTACTGTGCAGCCGATAATTGTATTTTACGTCTCTTCTGACGACGGTGTCCTTTCTATTGCTATTTTACGATTGTTTTGTTGTTCCTAGACCAGGAAATAATATTTATTATTAATATTTTAATGGGTTTAATGAAAAATTTTAGATGTTCATATATCGCGATTTTTCTAGAATTTTCCAGAAACTCCGCGATATATTTTCCATATATATATTTTAAAAATCCGCCAAGTCGTGAATCTGCGATAGTAGAACCACGAATTAGCGAGGGATCACTGTATTCTATTCTATTCAATTGTAAAATTCCAATTCAATGTTTTTTTCAACAACATCGTCTTCCTTTCGTCTTATAGCTATCAATATTTAAAGTAACCAAACATTCATATATCGTCAATTATATGTCAATATTTTAAGTAGCCACTTATCTCATTTTTTTTTTATTTTTACTTTACATATCTTCTCTCGCGAGCTATAACCTTCATCATCATCAGCCCCATCAGCATCGACGTAATTCATATTCATCAGTACTATGAAAATTTCCTCTGAAATGTCATTTAATCTACAAAGATATTTTAATAGCAACAAATACAGAATTGACTTACGAAGAATTATGATAGCTTAGTGTGGTCACCTATTTGTAATAGTTGTTATTAGACAAGCATTGTTACCTCTTTAAAGCTTTCCGGGAGATTACTGTCGATCTGTTCGACTCTCGAGACCTGACTGGTTTGTCTTGCCCATGAGGCCGCACTTGAATGTCCAATCAAATTCGGCTTCACTCTTCCACCCACAACTGTATATATTTTTTTCTAACCAACTCCGACTTTTGCTCCCGGGAAAAGTAGTAAACGTGAGGGCTCTCCATTACTTTCTATACTATGTAAATCTTAACAGTACATGTATTTCACTACTCGCAGATTTGCTATTTATTTGCCTTTACTCCTCTTGTCTTAAATATGATGTTGGAGCGTGAAATTTTCCAAACCCAGGTTCCTGAGAATTCTCTACACTATCTTTGTGATTCTATGAATAAATGTCCTTTTTGTAACCATTTTCTTTAAAACCCCATCGTTTCTTATATGTTCTATCAATGGAATTCTTAGCATCCTTCTGTATAAACACGTATCTTTTTTTATCTGTGTTAAAATTCACTGTTATATAAAATGACAATTACACATTACACAGTAGCTAACCTATATTTTGCGAGTCTTGAAGTTTGAACAGATACGGAGGTCCCATTGCAGCCAGTAACGATAGATTCGCGGATACATCTGCCAAAATGAAGCCTCTGAATAAATTCTGGTGAGCTCAACGAGTCCATACAACTGAGAGTTCGGGTGCTGCAAGCCGACAAGAAAACGTTGAATTTGACCCGTTACAGGGGTATTTTGAAGCCATATGAAATGGGTATTAGACCATATCCTAATGTCAACATTAGCTACTCCAATCCATTGGCTTAAGCTTATATCACTAAAATAGCTTTATTTTAATAACAAACATTTAAAAAAGAAGAGGAATTTTGTTGAAAAATTCCTTCCTTAAATAGTTACTCCAGAGCCCCCTTTTGGATAGGGGGCCTTGAATCTTAAGCTTCATTAGTTTTATATTTGTTCCACCGCTGCTATTACATAACTATTCCGCACTTTTTTCTTTGTTTCTAATTAAAGAAATCTTTCTCTATTCCGATGCAACTTAACATTACGTTGTCACATTTCCCTGATAAATAAATGTTTGTAATTGATTTTGATATATCCAATTCATAGTCTGCTACTTTTTTCTTGCTTACAACCATACATAATGTCGCCTTATAATTCATGATGATTCCTCTTTCTCGTTTTCCTTTAATACTTCATCTAGGAGTGTGTTGTAAACTAGAAAGGGTTACTGAATGAAGAATAACGAAAATAGAGGTTGGAAGTGAAATGGTAATCTTTATAACATCAATAAAATAAAATACTCGCCAGCAGCGTGAAATAGGTAAACCATTGCTAGTGCTGGACTACTTAGATAGCATATTACCCCCACTTTCAAGGATTTCTATAGTGAGGATTATGAGGATTATCCATTACTGTTCACAGGTATGGTATATAATAGATAGATAGATAGATAGATAGATAGATAGATAGATAGATAGATAGATGGTATTTATCAATCCACCCACGGGGATCGAATGTGGCACAAGGCCTTTTTAATGTGGGTATCTCTGAGCCCGTAGGCCCAGCCAAAAATAAATAACCATCCAAACCCGCCGAGGCGGGCCAGTTCTGTCAACCTCCCCAACGAAACCCTACCCTTCGGCAGAGCTTCGTCCGGGTTCCTCTCTGCAAGCAGAGAGTTCGACAGACACCCGACCCGGCAGCTCACAAAGAGCAGATACTACACTTTGATCCTAGCCACCGGGCCAAGCGGGTATTCTTTTTATTCTTTTTAGATAGATAGAGATAGATACAACCTGTAGTGAGATAGATAGATAGATAGATAGATAGATAGATAGATAGATAGATAGATAGATAGATAGATCCTGACCTGACATAGATAGATAGATAGATAGATAGATAGATAGATAGATAGATAGATAGATAGATAGATAGTGTTGAATCCTAGAAAGGGTTACTGAATGAGCAATAACGATAACGGAGGTTGGAAATGAAATGGTACTCTTTATAACATCAACAAAATACAATACTCGCCAGCGGCGCGTAGTAGGTAAACCACTGCTAGTGGTGCACTACTTAGCATATTATCCCCACTTACAATAATGTCCAACGTATTTATGTGGATTGGGACATACCGTTTAGTGTTCATACGTTGGGCATATAACAGACTGCCTTTTTTTTTTTTTGTCTGTCATCAACACGATTCTATCTGCATATCTTATGATATTAATATTATGCCAACTTATAATAAAAACTGGTGGGTGTTTTAGTTTCCTTAGGATTGACTCGTTATATTTAGGATTGACTTGTTGTAAAAGTAAAGTAACTCTGGCACGAACACGTACGCTTGTCTTGCACTCCATTCTCTTCTTGAGCCGATACTCAATACTTTTTTCTCTCCGTATGCATGTGGCTCGTTCACCGTATATATTCTGGATTATTCTAATGATTTTTTTTTCACAAATAAATCAAGTCTTCCTTGCTGGCCAAATATTTATTTGTGTCGTATCTTAACGAATGCTTTCGGCTAGTCTATGGAAGTCAGGTATACTTCTTTTAGTATCATTGTCTCCCATAGAAGTCCAACCATAAATAACCCATTTCTTCCTCCAATGTCTTTGACGAAACATTACCGCTCTTTTCCTCTATCTGTTCTAATTCTATTAACATTTACAATTCATCAGAATACGGATGATAAGCTTGTAAGCTTGCCTATATGGCTCATTAAGCTGATTGTCCGTTGAAGCATGCATTCGTTTGCACTGGGTTAGACAGTGCAGAACTTACTTATATTAATATTTCAGGTCCTTATATATTTTTTGCTTATTGCAGTACTGCCACACCAATATATATTTAAAAATTCACAGTAATATTATTAACATATGCTAGACTACCCGTGACCCTTTTGGCCACTGAAGGTTCAGGTCATAAAACACTGAAGTTGATTTTAGTATTCCATTGAAATGAAACATATTTTTTATGATTCAATTAAATATTTCAATTCGTTCGTGTCATCATTGCTAAGGTTTACAAGTTCATGTTTAACGTTTTACCTATCTACATTACAGCATTTAATAGGAAGTGAACTTCCAGGATAAACTCAATCATTAACTCAGATTACTCTATATTTCTGAGATGAGGTATCATGTACACTATTTACATTATTCGGACTCTTGTCCTCATCTTTGTCGCCATATTTATTACAACGTTTCGGCCGTTGTACGCTCCGGCCTTCTTCAGGTGGTTGGAATGTCGAACTGAACCCTTTATTTCGCTCTCTTGGGTAGACTGTTCTAGTTCCACGTGCCATGTTTTAATGGATGTCAGTTATCAGTTAATTCCCCATCTCCAAGTTCTCCACTGCCTTAACCGGGCATTGAACTCACACTCTTTGGGTCCTGTCACTGGATCTAACCAACGCCATTATTCACTGTGCCATGTGCCCTTCATTCCAGCCACCTGAAGAAGGCCGGAGTGTACAACGTCCGAAACGTTGTAATAAATATATCGACAATGATTAGGACAATAGTCCGAATGATGTAAATAGTGTAATTCAGATTAACTTAAAAATAGTTTTTTTTTTAATAAGCCAAAAATATTTTTAAAACATATTCACTTAAAATATTGTTTAAATATGCCAAAAAATAGTTTGTTTTTTTAAATATTAAAATATTTAAAATATTCTTTGTTTAAAGACAGCTGAAATATAAATAATTACTCTACAGACAACTAGACAAAACAACAAAGCGGGATCTCTTTGTGTCTGTCTTTAACTTAAAAATATTTTAATTAAACATGTGTCCGTTTGAAGAAAGTTATAAAAATACTTACTGTATAAACAACAATATTTTTAAATCTTATTCAATTAAATCAGTTTCACTTAAAAAAATTATGTACAGGACGGACACAGCACACAAGCACGCAATCACAGACGTTTAGTTTAACATGTGTTGTGTGTGTATACGTGTATATGATTGTCGTTCTACTTGTATGCGATTTAGCTGGAACAATGCAAAAGATGTAAATACTGTTAACCAATCAAAACTATAGATATTGGCTTTTCTATGTCGACAGGCCAATCGCTTTTGCTGAAGACGAGGTTACAAGACAT